GTATGAAAGGAACATTTACAAGATTTAAAGAAGCATGGTTAAATAATAAAAACGTTTTAAGCGTTGTATAATCGTTCAAACGAATTTATAATTTTAAAAATATTGTATCATGAAAATGAGCCGAAAAAAGTTTCAAAAATTCGGAAATTCGATAAGTTTTTCTTATTATTTTCAATATTTTAATATTTCAATTATCTGTTATTTAGTCTATATTATTATTATTACTTATTCAATTCATTAAAGAAAATTTTAAATTCGATTTTTTTTTTTTTGCTCATCTATCAAGTAACACAATATTGTTATTGCAAAAGTATATACAGTCAACTCAATCTTATTATAGTATTAAATATACTTAGTTGTTCACCTTAAGAAATGTCACATAACATTATTGCACATGAAAAAAAAAAATCCCTAAATAATATTGAATATTATCGTTATAGTAAAATGGGTACTTCTGTAAGTCTGAGCGATTAGAAAATAGGGAATCGAATAATTTCAATCCTGACAGTCATCACGAAAATCTCAAAATTTAATATATATATTTTTTTTGTCGTAGTTTAAATGATAACCTCTTATGATTGATTCCGTAGATATTGGTAATGAAGTGTCGACAGCATAATTTTTGTAGCTCGTCATGAATTTTCTGATTAAATTAGATTTCTTAAAAGATTCTTATAAGTGAAATAAAAAGATCCTTATTTTTTTTTTTTTTTTTTAAAAAAAAAAAAAAATGTCAAAAAAATTTTTTTCTCAATTATCTCATGACTTAACTAAATTACTCTTGGACACGAAATTTTGTGATGTAACTATAGTAGTTGGTAAAGCTCCCGACATAAAAAGTTTTAGAGCTCATTCATCAATTTTATATTATCGTTCACCTTATTTTCGAAGAGAATTGTCCAGTCCAAGTTTTGATAGTGTATCAAAAAAGTTCAAATTCAATATTCCTGTTGAAATTTTTGAAACTTTACTAATGTATGTTACTAATGTATGTTACTAAAAAAATTTTTGCAAAACATTACGTGATCTCAATAAAAATTTTTGACAACTTATCATTTTTTTATTAGGTATATCTATAGTGGAACTATAATGTTAGATGACAAAAATGGATCTGAAATTTTTCGAGTTTTATTAGCCACCGAAAAGCTTGGTCTTTATGAGATAATAACTCATATTCAACAATTCTTACTAGAACATCATGTTGACTGGTTAAAACGTCATATAGAGACCATAAATCGTGCTAGTTTTAAAAATGATCATTTTCAAGTTCTTCAACAATTTTGTACTGTAAATGATCCTGGAAAAGTTTTGAGTGCTATTAATTTCGATTCAATTTCGGAAAATGCTTTGATATCTTTACTTAAAAGAGATCATTTTGGAATGGATGAAGTTCAAATGTGGGATCATGTAACATCAAATTTTATTATTATGATTATCGTTTTTTGAATGAACTACGTATTATTTAAAAAAAAAAATTTTTATATTTTACCACAGGTTAT